CTCTGGGATCGTGGCACTTCCCCAAGACCTCCGTATCTTCCCCTTTTCCCTGTCATCCCCTCCAGGGTCCGACTCACTCCTAGGAGCCACTAGGCATGGAACTTCAGATTTTTCAGAGCGGCAATCTGCTCCTCTACTCCGCATCGACGTGGTGCCTTAACTGGAAGTCCCCTCTCTTTGTTCATCTTAAAAAGCTAATTCTCAACAAATGAACCAGCAAACATATGGAAAACTTTTAAAAATATCACCAGTTACAGCAAACCTTTCCATGCTGAAGGAAATTCACAACTGGCAGATGACTTGAATGTGTTTTACTATAGGTTTGAGAGGAAACTACTGCCACCTATCTCCACAATCCCCATCTCAAACACACTAATAACAGCCAAGCCTCCTACAACCTACCCCATCCCATTGGGCCTATCACCTCTGGTGATTACATAGAATGAGATGCAAGGTCTATTTCATAGACAAAAGCCAGAAAAAGCACTAGGCCCAGACAAGATAACTCCTTCTTAAGTTTGTGATGACCAACTTGGCCCCATCTTCACCTGCATCTTTAATAAATTACTAGAGATGTGCTATGTTCCTTCTTGCTTCAAACACCTTACTATCATCCCAATGCCGAAGAAACCCTCCATCAAGGAACTGAATTATTTCAGACTGATTGCTGTAACATCTGTAGCTATGAAAACCTCTGAAAGGCTAGTCCTGGTCCAGTGGTGGGATTCAAATTTTTTTACTACTAGTTCTGTGGGTGTGGCTTGGTGGGCGTGGCAGGGGAAGGATACTGTAAAATCTCCAGTCAGAGGTGGTATTTGCCAGTTCTCTGAACTACTCAAAATTTCTGCTACCGGTTCTCCAGAATTGGTCAGAACCTGCTAAATACCACTTCTATGTGGCCCACCTGAAAACCATCATGGATAGACCCTTGCAATTTGCCTACCAAGGAAATAGATTGCAGATGATGCTGTTAATATGGCTCTGCACTACATCCTAGACTCTTCTTAAAAACATCCAGAGATGGGACTTCCGGTTTGTCGGCTTCGCGAGCGGCAGGGATTCGCGAAGCTGCGTGATCCCTGCTGCGCTAGCCGCTTTTGGGACTCCGATCCGGATGGGTACAGAGCTAGGCTGCCCTGCAGGGGCAGCTGAAGGTAGGGGGGATCCGGAGAGGGGTTTGGGGGTGTTGCAGACCCCCTCCCCGGCCGGCAGAACCCCCTTTTCCCAAGACGGTGCAGCGGCGGTCCGTTATGGCCGCCACAAAGAAGCTGGCAGCCGGGTAAGAATGCGCAGGAGGAAGTGGAGAAAGTTTTTGAAAGGAGAAAGTTTTTCTTGGTTCCTAGGACTCTAAGACATATTTAACAAAATTCCTGAAAAGTATGACTTTCTGAATGATACCTTCTAGAAGAGGAAAAAAGCGGCAGTTTGGTGGTGCTGAAAGGAAAGCTTACCCTCTTTTCCTAAGGAATAAATAAGTGGATATTAAGAAACCTATTTTTTTTTAAGTGAAAACTGGCTTTAAGCGATGAGTGGGAAGAGAGAGGACTAAAAAAAATATATTTGTATGCTAAGACTTTGTTGGAGGAGATGCCTTAAGGATTTGAAGACTAAAATATATTGCAATAAGATTTTAAGAAACAGATTTGGACTTTCTTTTTCTCTGATTGATACTACCCCAGGAGGAGAAAGTGAGAACTCTGCCTTGGTTTGGACTGATTGATAACTTTGGGACTGTTTTATTTTTTCTTTGGAATATTCTGGTTGTTGTAAGAAGAAAGAAGGGGAAAAGAAAAGAAAAGATTTATAATGGCTCTTTCTATTGAGGAACTGAGGAAAGATTATGAACAAGCAAAAAAAAATGGTAAAGCTGGTTTGAAAGAAGCCTTCCTTTTTTTAGAAATGGCACTTATTAACTATCAACAAACATTACAACAGATGAAGACAGCAGAAGAAGAAGAAGGAGAGGAAGCCATTTTTATTAAATTTCAGAACTCGACCAAGAAAGAAGGAAGAGGGAAAGGAAGAGAAATAAAGGACTTAAGATTTAAAAAAACACTTAAGAAAGGGAAAAATAAGGTGCAAAATCAATATAATGATAGTAAACAAAAGGGAAAAGGAACACGACAGAGAAGGGAAGCCGGTAAGGCAGAGGCTAGAAGAAGGGGGGGTAGAAAGGTTTGTTGGGAGAAGAAAGAAAGGGAAAAGGTGGAGAAAAGCTACAAAGTTTTGAAATTAAATGGGAAAAAAGGAATCTTTTTTAGGGATAAAGGATAAAGTATAATTTCTTCAAAAAGATTTTGCAAGGTACATAAGATGATATTGTAGTATTGTATTAGAAATAGAAAACTTAAATGGTTTAAGAGTTGATAAGAGATTAAAATGTTGAAATGTTTAATAATGAGTGGTTTTAAAACTTAATAATATGAGGGGAGGTTTAGAATATTGAGTTTTAATTAAAGAGTTTAATAAGATTATGGTATTGATGTTATTATAAAATTTCTATTATAGTATTTGTTTTTAATATTTAGATCTATTGTTTAACTATGTATTTAATTATTCTGGATGTACTATTTAGATAGAATGTACCAAGCAAAATCGGATTGGGTATTGGGCGTTATTTTAAAGATTAATTTGATTAATTTAGGGGGGAAATAGAAAGGCATCATACTCCGATTAGTGATTTCAGGAGAAACTTCTTCTTCTTCTTTTTTTTATAAGGAACGAGACAAAGGGACAATAAAGAATGGACAAAAGATACAAATATAATGACTCAAATTAAGATGATTAATTAAGATAGAATTAAGAAGAATGAAATATGTGGAGAAGTTAATATAGAAGATTTAGAATGGTAAATAAAATAAGTAATGATATGTAAGATGAGCATGAATATAATTGAAGTCCATGAAGAGAGAGATACCTGGGTCCAAGTTACTTTCCAAAAAGATTTTTTTTATGTTTTGTGTGTTGTGTGTATATGTTTTTTTTTTGGGGGGGGGGGGGAGAATTAATAAAACCTTGCAGAAATATAGAATGAGAATAATGGTAACTAAGTCAGAAAGAAATAGATGAAATAATAATAATAAAATTGAATAAGAGTAAAGAGAAGTAAAGAGAAATTGGATAAGAGGTTTTTGTATGTTTATATGGAAATGGTTTAAAACAGAATTATAGTTTATCTGACTTGTTAAATTTACAATGGAAAAAGGTTTAAACATGTAATGGATAATGATGATTTGTGTGTTTTGAAAATTAATAAAACTTGTTTAAAAAAAAAAAAAACATCCAGAGATGGAGCATCCACAATTTGTGAAGGCAAGCTGTTCCACTGGTTAATTGTCCTCACTGTTAGGAAGTTTCTCCTTAATTCCAGGCTGCTTCTCCCACTTCCCTCTCATTCCTCCGCTCAATTTTTGTTGCTTTATGAACCATATTTTTCTGTGTTTTGTTCTAGATAGATGAGGGAAGGTTAGAGTCAGTAACATAGCTTGAGAGAAGCAATGGAACTTCTATGCAGTACAGATAAATATCCTAACTTTAAAAGGCAGCGGGGGCTTGGTTTTCTGAATTCTTTCTAGTCCCTTTACCATCAGTGGCTATAGAAGGTAGCTCTATTTTGTTCTGTGTAGATACAAATTCAAAATGTTGCTTTGGTGTGTGTGTGTGTGTGTGTGTGTGTGTGTGTGTTCCTAGGAAGTAATCAGGTTTGGTCCATATTTATGTGTGGTCTCTATGTATTCCTGTTGTACACTTATGTTGTATTTGTTATTTAGCTGTATATGTGCATAGCGGGAAGCATTCGATAGACTGCCTGTATCATCATCATCATCATCATCATCATCATCATCATCATCATCATCATCATCATCATTTATATTCTGCCTTTCAAAAACTCAAGGCAAGAAACATAGTGCTTGTTTCACACATACCCACTCCCACAACAACCCATGTGGCAAGCTGGGCTGAGAACAAGACTATGTCAATAGCTATTGTCATTTAGGGTGCACTGAAATTTTGGCCTCCCCATTGCTTATCAAACACTGTCCACTGTTTCTATTAGGGACCCCATGATCAGGATTCCCAGTAGAAGCTAGGCTTAAACTGTGGCACAGCAGCCTTTGCCTCTTCCATAATCTTGCAGTGGGTTCTTTTACAGCTGCTGGCTGGATCTGTCCCACATTTAACTCTCTCTCTCTCCCTCCCTCCCTCCCTCCCTCTCTTCTCCTGCAAATGGACAGCAATAGCACTTAGACTTATATACCACTTCATATTGCTGATAATTTGGGTCCTCATTTTTCCAACCTCAGAAGTATGAAAGGCTGAGTCAACCTTGAGCTAGTAGAACTAGCTCATGGCAATACTGCTTTCTAACCATTGAATCCCCACGGCTGCTGCCCAAATAGCCTGAAGGAAGAAAACTGACTAAAATTGTGAACAACATGACTGAGCATCGACGTTGCACCCTGTGCTATTATAGGTAGGACCAGCGATGAATGGCGTCAAAGGTTGTTATGAAGGTTGTTGCGGTGGGGAAACGGATTGAAAACTGAAATGGAAGCTCTACAGCAGAAAAAAAGCTGCGAGTGGAAGTGGCCTTTGGGGTGGCAGAGAGGATGTCCCACGCATGAAAGATGAAGCAAGGGATAAGGTTTGTCTTCCCGGGAAGAAACCCCGCGCCAGACGCTTCAGTTTGGGGTGGGGGGAGTGAAGGCAGATCCTACAATGACGAAATCAGGGGAACTCCTTCCTAACGGTAGGGAATCCTGGGCGGCGACTTAAGCGAGGGAGTGAACTGCAACCTGGATGGTGATCCAGCGGAATTAGAGATTCCGAGGAGTTGCCCATTGGTTGCTGAGAGCGAAGTGGGCGGGGGCGGGCCCGCCCCCGCCCCGCCCCGCCCGGCTGATAGTTTAAGCCAAAAGGAAGGAAAAGTGGGAACTGTTACTGTTGCCGCTGCCTCTGCTGTTTTTGCAGCTCTCCGCCCCCCCCCCCCCCTCCACGCGCACACTCGCCTCATCTCTCGACGGCGTCCGCCTCGCCTCCACCACCTCTCCGCTGCTTCCTTTTCTGGCGGCCAGCCTCGTTAGCGCTTCCTTAATGGAAACCTACAGCCGTCGCCGCAGCAGACCCATGCAACCTCGTTTCCCTCCTCGGGCATTCCTCTAAGCCCATGCCATGTTGCTGCCCTTTCTCCCGGCACTGTTGGCCATTTTCGTTCCATCCTTTCCCTCCCGAGGCTGCTCTCCCTCGGCTTCTTCAGAGTCTGGACGAAAAGAACGGACAAGACTCACTTTGCCGCCTCTCAACTCCTCTTCCTCCCCCAAGTCCTTTGAGGATGGGGGCACGTTTCCGACAGACTTTGAGGAAGGGGGAGGAGAGGCCACCAAGGCGGCGGCGGCTGTAGCTACTCTTTCACCTGAGTCTCCCCGACCCGCGCCCCAGCAGGAGCAGCAGCCCCGCGAGGAGCCGGCGTGCAACATAAGCGTGCAGAGACAGATGCTGAGTTCATTGCTGGTGCGCTGGAGCCCGTTGGGCTTCCAGTGTGACCTCGTGCTCTACTCCACCAGTGGTCCCGGCGGGCGAGCCTTTTTCTCGGCCTCCTTTCATCGCGTTGGGCCGCCACTGCTCATCGAGCATCTTGGGCTAGCACCTGGCGGCATACAGCAGGACCTCCGCCTATGCGTGGGCTGCAGCTGGGCTCGAGGTAGGCGCGTCGGCCGCCTTCGCCCGGGCGCCTCCAAACCAGCGTCGTCGTCTCCTCCTTCGGCTGCACTCTACTCCTGGTCCACTCCGGACCACGGACAGCCTTGGCAGCAAGGGGAACGGCTCCACTTCTGCTGTCTGGATTTCAGCTTGGAGGATCTCAAGGGAGATCCAGGCTGGAGGATGAATCGCAAGCCCATCGAGTCCACCCTGGTGGCCTGTTTCATGACTCTGGTCATCATCGTGTGGAGCGTGGCCGCCCTCATTTGGCCGGTGCCCATCATCGCCGGCTTTTTGCCTAACGGCATGGAGCAGCGGAGGAGTGCCCCCACCTCGACATCTGGAACAACTGCATCGAAATGACCGCCTTCCTCCCGTATCTGGTTCGATGTCACCTGAGTCATATAGTTGAGGGGCTCCGGATTGAGAATCTTGCTATAAATTAATTATTTTTTGTAATTTAAAAGGAATCTATTTTGTAAATTATTATGTTAAAGCCATCTTCTTGATGTTGGATGTAGAAGGCTGGAATTAGGTAGAAATCTTCAAACTGGATTGAAGAACCTATACCTGCTTCTCGTTAATTTATACCTGCTTCTAGTTAGTTTATAGGTATATTTATAATGTGCTCAAATTCATATCTAATGAAATGACCAAAAGCTGTGTATTTGCTTTATATATTAAAAAGAAACTCTTTTAAGTCAATATTTTAGTAGCAACGCACACAGAAGTCCAGTGCATTTTGCAGTAGTTATAAGTTATTTGTATACAAATCCAATTTGTCTTTGCAAATGTAAATTTACTAAAAAGAAACTTTTTGGCAGTACTTAAATTTGCTAACATAGTATTTGATGGATCTGAATTTTATAATTGTGTGTGTGTGTGTTGTTGGTTATTAGGGATACTGTGTGATTTCTTATATAAATATGTTCAAATATTAATATAGATTTTCTTTGCTGAAATGTCCAGACTTTGCATGGTATTTTTCTATCAAAGTGATTTTGCAAGTACAAATCAAATAGAGGAAGAAGCAGAGCGTTGGGGCTCTCTTTACCCTTAACATTCAATATAAAACACATTGTGGAATGATGAATAGTCATTCTTTTATTCTTCTGATTTGGTAAGTCAAATCTTTGAAAAGATTGATAAAGCTGCCTTCTCCAACTTAATATGGCAAAGAATTCAACAGTTGCCGCATATCTAGGGGATGCTACAAGGATAAGGTTGTCTAATTTCTGATGTAATCTGTTTTATCTCCTTTTTATAGTAACAAGAATTCTACCATTAATAGGTTGCAGATAGAGTGTACGTTGTATGCAGAACCCATGGTGGTATGTAATTTATAATAAGTATAGTTAGCCTAACACCCTCTACCCCATTTGTTAAAAACCTCTGTGAGACAACTGCCAACTAAATGTACATTCAGTAAGATTCTGCTAATTCAGAATATTAATTCTAAATTTGGAAAAGTAGGGTTCAACCTGGATAAATTAAAAAATAGTCACACATTGTGTAATTATAGCAAGTTCCTGCACATTATTCTGAAATTGTTCAGAATAATCATTTTTTTTCTAATTGCTTCCCAGTCAAATCGGAGAAAATTATGGAGAGAAGTGTGCAGATATATTTGCTTGTCTTCTGATTTGCACCATAATGTTAACATGAACCTTTTTGAATATGACAAGTGTGCTTTGGAACTGCAATAGTTGAATTAGGAGTTTGGACTCTCAAGAGGAAAAACTGAAAGAGCAATTTGGTTTTGCCCTAGATATTCTTAAAATATGTAGAATGAGATATATTCCTATTTAATTACATTATAATATTCAAGGTCCTCTATGAAAACTATGTATTCCTTCATCAACAGTGTTAGGTAATGGAAGACAGCCAAATTCAGCGAATAAACTGTGACAAATTTACATTATATTGTAAAGAAATTAAACCTTGTAATTTAGTTTAATTATTTTCATGGAATGGCATTATTTTATAACATATTTTCTCTGTGGGGTAAAACAAGCAGCTGGATGATATGCTAAAGATTTCATTTGACTTTATGAGATTTCAGTAGAAATGTTTTAAAGATTCAGCTGTAAGACTGTAATCTGAATTATATTTGTTAAAATAAACATCATATAATAAAACAACAGTTATTTCTAACGATTTACAGCATCAGGTTGCATGCAAGTTAACTTTCTTTTTGAAGTTGAATATTATTTGATTTACAAAAAGGTTGTTTTGCATTATTTTCTGGCAACTTCTCAAGAACATGAATTCATATCTTGCTTGAGTTAAAAGTACTCTGAGATGTATATTTAGAAAAATGTTGGTTGTATCGAGATATGAGGTGAGTGTGCACATAGGGGCAAAGAGCAGAGAGCACCAGAAAAAGCAGTGGTGATGGCAACAGTTCCTACTTTTCCTTCCCTTTGGCTTCAACTCTCAGACACACTTCGCTTTCAGCAACCAATAATAAATTTGAATAGTTAAGATTTTGGCAAAGTTAATATCAGCTAATATCTGATTTCATTTAAAATTTCCTTGGCCTTTAAATTTACATTTCATTTTAATTTGTAATCAATATTTACAAATATGTAATACTATTTGCATGAAAAACACAAATTCTGGATGAAAATGGATGCTAATTTTCTGATTTTAATTAATCTTGTTTTCATGCAGGTAAATATTCAATTTGCAAAAATCTAGAAATCAAGATGATATCCAATTTTTGGATGATACTTGATCTTTCAATGAAAGAACCAGTTTTCAAACTAGTGAAACATTTAAAAAAACCATGGAAAATGGGCAGAAAAAATGCCAATATTACTAAGTAAATATTGAAACAAAAAATAAATAAAAATAGAAAATAAGTTGTGTTAAAATATGGTATGAGAAAAGCAGCTGTTTTTTTAAAATTACACAATAATTTAGAGCAATGAAAATACTACTTAATATTAAAATCTGATGAGAATAGAATAGAAGCTGAAAGGGACTTTGGAGGTCTTCTAGTCCAGCCCCCTGCTTAAGCCGTTCTTCATTTGGTTTAGTCTCCAGGCCTTTAATTGTCTTAGTTCTGAACTTTTTCCAAAGTCTCAACATCTTTTTTGTAGTATGGTGATCAAAATTGGTTCCAGTAGTGTAAGTGAAAGAGTATTACCCTAGACCTGGAGTGTCAAACTCAATTTCATTGAGAGCTGCATCAGGGTTGTGTTTGACCTTGGGGAGCTGGGTTGGGTATGGCTGGGGTGGGCATCGCCAGCTTGACGTCACTCGTGTTGGGGGCACCGGTGGTGGCCAAGTGCTAAGACAGGAGTTCCGCTATTAGTCCCTCCCTCTCATTATAATCTTCTTTCTTTCCTTCCTTCCCTCCCTTCCTCCTTCCTTCTTCATTCTCTTTTATTCTTCCTTCTCCTTCCTTCTGTTTTCTTCCTTGCTCTCTTCCCATCTTTCCTTCTTTTTCTTTTTCTTTTCTCTTTCCTTTTCTCCTTTCCTGTCCCTTCTTGGATACTCAAATGCATTTCTCTTTTTATTTGTTTTTAGTTTGTTTTTCTAGTCCTCTGCCAGTGAAAACAGAGCCCAGTGTGTGGCCCTCCCGAGCTCCATTTTCGCTGGCAGAGGCACCACAGGCCTTTGCTGCTTCCAGGGTGGCTCCGCAGGCCAGATCTAAATATCCTGCAGGCCCACGGACCTTGAGTTTGACACCCCTGCTCTAGACTGTCCTAGACTGTGAACATTATTAGCAGCTACTGTGAACATTATTAGTTACTGAGCTCTCTGTTCAATAACAGGTGCCTGTGAACATCAGTCACTGGGGGAATTTTCATTAGAAGGTTTGTTGCTTCAGAGATAGTGGAAATAGGATACTGGTATAAAAGGAAATACTGTAGTAAATGGCTTTATGGATTGAATATCACTGCTGTTCTTTCACTATTTAGAACGCTGTTCTAAATCAAATGTCCTGATGCTGCTTGGGAAGTCACAGCCTAACTGCTGCTATCAGGACAGGGAAGGCTATTTTAGAGGTTAGTATTTGTTACTTAAATTATTTAGGATTTTTACAGTGTTCTGAAGCTATTTCAAATTAGAAGTTACCACATTTTACAAAGCCATTTATACAAGGAATCTAGATTTAGATTCTCTTACATGAAAAATAGTTATTTAACTATCATGAAGAATACTTTTGCATGAATCAGTTTTAATGTCAGCATATTTTTCTTCTACCATTAGATAACATTTGGATGTAATTCCTGCTGTAAGTGCTTACTGAACCATACCTGCCAAATTACACATCTTTTGAAAGATTTCCCTTTGTAAAGACAAATTACATTTTATTCAGTGAAAGCAAGGCATTCCGGGAAAAACTATCTTTTAGGTTATTGAACTTTTGGAGATTGCTAGGCAGTGTGAAGATGGGAGACAAAAAGAATGCTAAAAGCATATCCCAGCAAAGAAAAATAAGAACTGCCATATTTCATTTTTAAAAAAGAATATAGATTTAGAGAGAAAATACATAAAAGAACAGATTGTGGGAAAAGCAGAAAACACTTCGAGATAATTTTTAAGAGCAAATGAGTGTTTCTTCAATGCATGAGCCAAATACCACTGAAGCTGCTTTAAGGTTTTAGCAACTCTAAATTTTCACCAAAGGTCAGAATAGCAAACTGCACTGTTTTGTGCACATTCATATTTGAGTACTGATAAAGACTGTAGATGGAAGAAGTATAGATGGAAATTTTATGTTTCTTTTTTTTACTTTTTTAAAACCTTTTTCTTCTGAGTAGATCCAAAATAAGGATGCTGTATGAAAAGCAGACTGAACCAGGAATAGTATATGTTGACTATCAGAGATAATGTCAGCCTTGAAGCTAGTCCGGCTGTGGGTTTTTTTCCTCCCTCTTTCCTGTTCTGTAGTTTCCTAATAGGGGTTTTTTCACGTGGCTTCAGGATTGTCAAAAGCTTGGAGCTGAAGGAGGGCATGTAACTAAAACAAACTAGTTCATTCCTGGGTCAAGGGCATTCCAGCTGTCAGCTAGCTGGAGGCGAAGGAAAGAGTTGCCAGGTAACCAGCCGGTGCCAGATTGGACCATGTGATTTATTGTTTTTGGGGAAAGTGAAACTTGGTTTTATTGAGATGGAAAGCCCGGGAAATTTCAGAGTTGGCTTTCCACCAGTTAATGCCAAGATGATGTCTTCTAAATAAAAACTGTTCTTTCAGAATCTGCTTCAAAGTTCTGTTTTGAAATGGGGTAATTGCTTGGAAGGCTGACAGGTAAAGCATATACCATTTGACAGAAGGATGCTGATTATATAACACCATATGTGTAAATTGCAGGGTACCTTTCCCAAACACTGATCATTTCAGTGATCTGCATAAATTCTAGGGTTTCTGGGAGAATTGTTAAAATATTTAAAAGATCAGCACCTATTCTTGAATGGGGAGATGCTTTTTCTTTCCACATTTTTTCTGAATTTGATAAGCTAGCATTTCCTCCTTTCCCCAGAACTAAACTTTTAAACACATGGCTCCAATTTTCCCTTATTTCCTTTATTATCCCCAAGCAGCTTTGAAGTGGCAAATTTGGTATTGTACAGATCTAAGCTTAAAATAATAGAAGAGAAAGGATTTTCATTTCACACATACACACTTGTTAGCTCAGTTTACTTCCCACTTAGTTGTCTTCATTAAAATGAAAAATCTTTCAAATATAAATGTGTGCGTTGTGTACACACAAACACACAAAAGCTAGCAATCAGTAGCCAATAGGAAAAGAAACAAATACACTGCTCAAAAAATAAAGGGAACACAAAAATAAGACATCCTAGATCTGAATGAATGAAATATTCTTATTAAATATTTTGTTCATTACATAGTTGAATGTGCTGACAACAAAATCACACAAAAATTATCAATGGAAATCAAATTTAGCAACCCATGGAGGTCTGGATTTGGAGTTACACTCAAAATTAAAGTGGAAAAAAACACTACAGGCGGATCCAACTTTGATGTAATGTCCTTAAAACAAGTCAAAATGAGGCTCAGTAGTGTGTGTGGCCTCCACGTGCCTTATGACCTCCCTACAATGCCTGGGCATGCTCCTGATGAGGTGGTGGATGGTCTCCTGAGGGATCTCCTCCCACATCTGGACTAAAGCATCACCCAACTCCTGGACAGTCTGTGGTGCAACGTGACGTTGGTGGATGGAACGAGACATGATGTCCCAGATGTGCTCAATTGGATTCAGGTCTGGGGAAAAGTCCATAGCATCAATGCCTTTGTCTTGCAGGAACTGCTGACACACTCCAGCCACATGAGGTCTAGCATTGTCATGCATTCGGAGAAACCCAGGGCCAACTGTCACAAGGGGTCTGAGGATCTCATCTTGGTACCTAATGGCAGTCAGGCTACCTCTGGCGAGTACATGGAGGGCTGTGTGGCCCCCTAAAGAAATGCCACTCCACCCACTGCCAAACTGGTCATGCTGGAGGATGTTGAAGGCAGCAGAACGTTCTCCACAGCGTCTCCAGACCCTGTCACGTCTGTCACATGTGTTCAGTGTGAACCTGCTTTCATCTGTGAAGAGCACGGCGCCAGTGGCAAATTTGCCAATCTTGGTGTTCTCTGACAAATGCCAAACATCCTGCATGGTGTTGGGCTGTAAGCACAACCCCCACCTGTGGACGTCGGGCCCTCATACCACCCTCA